ATTAAATACCGATGTATTTAAGCTTATTTGGCGCGCTCTGATTGTACTTTGAAATAAACACGGTGAGGTGTGTGCCTATTTGATCGTGCATATTTGCACGACGCTGGTTTTGATTTGCACTGCCGATATCGCAATTAGATCAAAATCAAATCTGGCGATGTTTGTTCAACGGAGTCGCTTGGCCGAGAGCACAGCGTAGCGTGATGAATGTTTGCAGAGGCTCCACGTTTCATGCACCGCCGCATTGCCATTCATGATACCGAGCTTTGCGCCAGCCTTGATATCATTTTGCATGTGTCCATCTCGCTCTCCCTGTGCAGCCAGTTCTGCTCCACTGATCAAACCATAAATCTCAAATAAGGTACATCCATTTTATTGTAATACACTCAACATTACATTTATTCTGTTTCAACATGAAAAACTGAATGTAAGGAAAGAAAAATAAAATATAGTTTTACCGTTTATTTTTGGTTGTCTTTGTAAAAAAATAATGTTAGGCTATTAAAACTGAAGTTATTTATAATCTTTTATTATTATGTTTTAAGAATTTTTCCTTAATATTTTGCTTTATATAAATTACTATATTATATAATTATAATAATTTTTCTGGACAAACACTTTATTTAAAAATTATGTTGTAGTTGTTTATATTAAAATTAAATATACTTTGCAGGTTACAAAATAACAAAATTTAATTAAATTGTACCCGCCGTAATATTTTTTCTCAAATATGTTGTAAAAACAATTTTCAGGTATCATGAATCACTTTACATTCTTAAAGTTAGAGGATAGTATATAAGATGATCTGTAGTTAATTATAATTTCAATCATTGATAATCTTGATAAAAAAAAAATCATCTCCACTCTAATTATGAGCAATGTGAGCCATACAAAGAATATTTTCTGACTTCTTAAGTTAAATTTTTCGGTAAAGAATTTCAAAATAGAATTAAGATTGATTTTTTCCGATTCTCAACTCTCGCTGCTCATTCTGTCTGTATAAGAAAGAACAATTTCGATTATATATTAATATATAATTCACCAAGAGTAAACCTAATAAGAGGTTACACTCGGGAATGCAGCTGCGTTAAACGTGTACTCGGCAAATTACAGGGTGCAGGAAATATATAATACCTGGTGCTGTTCATTTCAACGTTTCGAACGTAATTACACGTGTCATGAAAGAGAGACCAAATCAGGAGCACTAAATTAAAACGCGCGCGACTGATGTATTACGCGCGGCATGCCAAGTACTTACGAGGATAATAATCTGTATAATGACGTGGCCTTCGACCAGGTAATATACAAAATCAGCAGAGTAGCTGCAATTATCAATTAAGTTGTACCCTTTCTTGGTGTAGAACATAATATATAATCTACATGCATTTGCTTAGAATTTTTCTAGCTTTCTTTGGGTACACAAGATCTATTCAAAAGTGACAATTCGAAATTTATTTATCAAAGACGATTTTTTAGTTAATTTGAAGTGATTTGAAATATTGAATTAATTGGCACTCGCGAGGTGATTATGGAAGTGTAACTAATTCAAATTTTTAAGAGGTTTTTACGTGGATTTACTGAAACTGTGCGAGAAACACTTGGCTTTAAAGAATGGAATAAACAAACCAAAATTTTGACTTTTAATCGAGAATTTAATTTTTAAATCGTCAAAAAAATTAATATTTTTGAGTCTCAAAAAATCAAAATTTCAATTAAAACTCTGAAAATTAGGGTAAACAGAGCAACATAACTGGTCTGGATCGCGATTTCGCCCAATTCCGTTTGAATTGTGTAAGTTTTGTAAGTTTTTCTCTTGGAAGGTAATTTTAACGTTAAATCTATTACACAAAATGGTTTTTTCTTTTAAATTAAGTTTCAAATCATGTTTATTATCTCTGCTCAAATACATCATTCATAAACTTTGGTCACAGTCAGTACATGATTTTTTGATTATTTTGGGTTTTTTTCAAGACCATTCTTAGAAATAATTGTAACCGTTTGTTTTTGGAATAAAAATAACAAATAACACTCACTTAAACTTTTCCTCTCTAAATCAATTATGTATTTAGAAATATATAGCACGGAAATAAATGTGAATGATAAAAAAGTTCTTTAATTTGTACCTAAATTAATCTCAAGGGAACTTTATTTAACAAGCGTAAATTGTTAATAAAATTGAAATGTATTCACAATTTATTGCTTCAATTATGAGCGGTAATTTACGATCAATAAAACAAACGACCACCTAAGCATGATCGCCACCCATTCAGCAATGACGATATATTTTTTACGACTCATTTGCATTTACGACAACAGATTCGGCAGAGGTCGTTGACCTCGTCGGCTCTCGTGTCATTAGGAATAAATATATGAATACTAAATTTAACGCTGCCTCGAATTGAGAGTAATTTTGGTGCAATTAAATGCAAATTGCACGCCCTCTCATGTGTAATTTAAAAAAAAATCTCGTCATTATTACGAGCGGATTATTTAATTAGCAAATGGAATGGTCTGGTGTAAATGCAATTCTAAAAGTGCTTAATGCAGTGAATGAAACAAGTGGAAGATGAATTTTGCATTGTTTTTTTTTTTCATAATCTCTTTCCAGCCCCATTAACTGGATGAGAAAAGTGCCGATTTCAATTCCTAGATGGGAAATTTATTTCAAGCATAATAGAAAAGTTTCCACTTTGTCGTGGCCACTCTGCGAAGTCTATTTCCTTGGAAAAAGCACTCTAAATAATGCCCTTCTTTCATTTTTCGCAGTCGCGACGAATCAAGAGTCTCCCTGAAAACAGGACAAACTTTCAGCTCTCGATCCCACAACGCAAAAGCACCAGAGTTATTGAAGAAAAAACTTTGTACTCATGGCGGACAGGTCATCTTCGGAAAACAATAAAACTCGCCTCCTCTCCAGAGCGCGTATTTATTTTTATTATTAGCAACGGAGAGACGAGTTGATCATTTTTTTTTCTCTTGCGAACGCTGCAGTGGAATTCACCGTGTGTGTTCCACATACAAATCAGAACCGGTGCGATCATTGATCAGCACAGATCAGCATTTGGCACCAGAGAGAAAGATGCTGCATTCGAGATAAACACGTATATTACATGTTGAGAGTGGAAAGCGCATTATATGCACACCCACATCCCAACTAGTTTGTCTGTATTAAAGCTTATCCAAGGTAAAAAAATCATTGATTTTATTTTAATTTTTTTTTTTAAATGATTTTGAGCAAAAGAATGTTCAACGGACACTTTAACTTTAACCTTCTTATCTGACAATTTTTTTTCCTAATTGGCGCATCAAATTTTTAAACTGAATCACCACAGAATTTTTCCTTTGTAGTCCTTTTATGGCAAATTTGTGCATTTTAAGGTGTATTCATGTTTTTTTTTTTTTTGGTAAAAAGTACGAACAACAAATATTACAAATTTACAAACTGGTACAACCTAATTTCAAAAGTTTATCAGTTTATTTTTCCACCTTGAAGTAACCAGAAATATAAGGTGATTTGATAGAGAAAAATTATATTTATCGCCAGTTTATCGCTTACAATTAAATTCAGAAAATTACGGTTTTAATTCAAGAAATAATATAAATTAAATGATGACACAGGCAACCAAAAAAAATTATGCTTTCATACGTCAAAATAATACATTCATGTTTTCTGATCAATATAACATCTTTTTTATTAAAAAAACTTAATTAATTATATAGTGTGCCCTGCAGTGGCTCAGTAGTGTAAAATTGACATTCATATTCTAAAAATGTTTTAAGTTTAATAAAATATATTTAATCTAATCAAATACAACATATTTTAAATAATAAATGATAAAATATTATAATTATGTTATTAATAAATGAAAAATCTTATTTTATTTTTACTTTTGCTTGATAATTATTTTATAATAAGATAAAATCATCATGCTTCGTTGCTCCTTTTAAAAATAAACGTATCTTGATCTGTGCAAGCGGCCGCTGACTGTTGCTGGAACACCTGCAAATGACCTCTTACGGCAATGCCAAGGTCGCGGGTATGCATATTAATAAATGCGGACGCTCTCGTCGTGCGTGGAAACATAAAAAAGAGCAGCATTTGCGCCCATATTAATCCCGGCTGATTGATGATCGAAAATATATTTTCGACGCCAACACTCAATAATTTTTCACAATCAGATCGCTGCGGAAAATGTGAAAAATGCGCTCGCTGTTATGAAAATATTTTCACATTTTTTTGCACATAAATACTTATTTTTATTTGTTCGACGACGGCGACGAATTCATGCTCCAAAGAGCGACGTTTCCCGCGTTGGTCGTAAATTTTAATCATCGCCGAGCTGTGCGGCGGCTCTTGCGCCTTTTTATATTAATGATTTCGCCAGACATGCTCGATGGTGTCGTTTTTATAACCGTTCAAATATTCGTAAAAGTTAAATTTCTCTTGATTGGTGGCAATGATCGCTTAAATTAGCGGCTTGTCACTTTGGGCGTCTTATTCAAATATTGACTGTGCGTTAATTGCCAGCCTATAAATTGAAAGGCGAAGGCTGGATTTTATATCAGAGTTTATAGAAAACTGGAAAGAAAATTGAAAACTCCGTTGAATTTCTCAAAAAATTTCTAAAAAAGTGATAAAAAATTAATAAATAATAATAATATTTTTAACTGAAATTCAATTTTTCATTTAAATTTAACTTGCTACTTTTTACAAAAATAAACAAAATGAGCAAAGTTCAAACTTTGCAAAAATTTATAAAATTTAATCAACAATTAACCCACTTACCAAACAAATTTTTCAATTAGACTTTTTTTTCTTGAAACTATAGATTTCAAAATTATTTGCAAACATAAAAATTGCAACATTTATCAACGTGAAATATTATTTAAATTAAAACATTACTGAATTGCTGGTGCTCTTGAATTTGATCCGTTTTGATTTTTTTTTTCATTTTAAATTGATGCAATTAAAATACAATTAAATTTTGTCGTTGTTTCAGTTTTCTACTTCCTGTGCCTGCGGCGGCGAAGGCGCGGGGTGGTGGTGGCGGCTGCCGGGATGCTGGCCGGCGCCTCCGCAGCGACCGCCGGGCCCTCGGGGGTGCGGACGGTCAGCGGGGGCCCTCTCGGGGCGCCTTCGGTGCCTGACCAGAGCACGCTGCAGCAGCTGGCGCGGTGCGCCGAGCTCAGGGCCAGGGAGGAGCGACTGCTGAGAGAGGTCGCCGCCGCACTCGGACACGGCGAAACACAACGACACTCCACCCCCACCCACAGGGTCAATATAGCAGGTCAGTCAAAGCAACTCAAATATGCTTTGGTTTTTGTATTTTGCAATTCTTTTAATTTTGATAAAGAAAAATTAATATTTTTGTCTAAATGGTTTTGAATTAAATTTATTATTCGAAAAAATCGTCTTCAAGGGCACAACCAAAAATATTAACCTTGTCTTGGAAATTAAAACACATTTTTCGAGCTTAAATGTAGATTAACTGGATTAAAATAATATTTATTATTACTTGCCAAATTTAATAGCCAGTTTATTTTCAAGATGATTTTAAAAGCTATAGTTTTCAGTTCTACAAAGAAATCAAACTTTCCTCAACCGTTCAAGATGAAATTTTTATGAGAAAGTTCTAACATTTAAAATTTCTACTTTATTTTACAATTAAACTATAAGAATTGCTGTTTATTTTTCACAAATTAGTCATAAATGAAATGGAAAATTAAGCACATGATTTTTTTTTTCAAAATTTGATTCAATAAATATTTAAATTTGATTAATATGTCATCTTCATAATAATCTTGAAAATCTAAAAATTTATTTCTGCATGTTTAAAAAGTGAAAGTTTAATTTTTTTTATTTGAAATTACTAAATTTCTCGTTGCATTTCAGAAGTGGAAGATTTGTACCTGCGTTGCACGAGCGACTCTATGTACATTTTAGACACGTCTCACGACATTACCCAGGTAAATTAATTAATCATCTCGACAGCACCCTCTTTAATTGTCCCTTAATTCTCTCCCGTCTCTTTTTAACGACGATTTCTCCTCTTCAACCCCCGGCGTTTTCCACCATCTCGGTTGCACTGCTCGCGGAGACCAATTATGAATTAAATTCCTGCGGTGCCTCAATTCGCGCTGCACTCGAATAAATATTCCAAGAATTTCTCGTTCTGCAGTCAAGGCTGAACGTCTCAAACTCAATTTGAGAGCAGCGCATATGGCTGTGATGACGAGCACTCGCGCCGGTGCTGCTTTATTGCAGCGGGTTTGTGTGCCTGGGAGATTTAATTAATTTGTATATTCGTCGTCGGCGTTCATGAATTCAGCAGCATCAATCGTGCGAATTCCCCGTGCTCGCGACCTCATCACAGCAACTCCATCATCAAATATTCCCGAGTAATTGATGCAGGTGCAAAGTCGAGCGTTCTGTGCCAGCCCATGAATGGCTTGAATTTCATCTTCTTGAATGCATAAAAATTTAATTCTTATATCAATTTCCAAAATTTCCAAATTCATATTATGAAAATGAAATCATTTTAATTCTTGTATTTTGTTTTCCTCTTTTTTCTTGAAAAGTTTTTGAAGGCTTAGTTTAAATTAATAAAATTAAAGCGCCTGGTATATGAATATAATAATTTTACAATAATTGTTCCCGTCCCCCCTCTTTTTTCATTAATTTTTTGATTATACAAATAAAGTTTTTCGCAAAAAAAATGGCAATCATATGAAAACAAATTGTTAACATACTGAAAAATACTCAATTACAAAATATTAGAAACTAAATTGGAAAGGACTGATAAAAAAAATCTCAACAAAGAATGTTTAGCGCTCTCAATAGATTATGAAAAGCTCCGAATATTAATATTTGAAAGAATACAATACAACGTTTCAAGAGCTTTAAAGCAAAAACCACTTAAAAAGTAGAGCAATTTTTCATTCAAAAAGTACTCTCGACGTAAATTTATTCCATCGCATACGAAAACAAAGTCGGGGCAATTTTCGGGACACACACACAGTTTTCTGGAGCAAAGGAGGGAAGTGGTTGAGAGATGAATTTTTAACGGCGTGCTGAATAGGGAACGCGGGTGTTAAAGTAGGCAAGCCACGTTGCAGAGCAGCCCCGAAATTACCAATTTTATCTTGAGAAAACAGAGGCGCGCCGGAGAGAGGCTATATTATTATTAATGTGCGCGCCGCGCCGCTTCCTAATTTATTTCCGCGCGGCGTAATAAAATTTTCCCTCTTTTTGCCTGAGAAGAAGCGAAAATTTTAATATTTGCCGAATTTCCAGCAGCAGCTGGGCCAGCAGGAGGTGGAGGCGGCGGCGGCGGACGAGCCCGAGAATTACAATCAGAAGAGGAGATCGAGCACGGAGCTGTACCGCGAGGCCGCGGCCATTTGGGGCCTCACGTGTCGCATGAGTGATAGCTGCAGATGCTTAGATTGTCAGGTAAAAAAAAAAGAAAAAAAAAATTGGTCTTCGAAATGATTTACCTAAAAATCACACCGCTCTTTCACAAATCGTATGATCGGATTAAAAAAAAAAAATTCAGTGAACTTTTTGTATAAAAAAGGGTTCATAATTTAGTTGCAAATTATATAAATTTATTAATGTATCACCGGTTATTCTCTGCCCAAAAACATTATCCATACATTCAATATTATAAATTACATTGATAACAAGAGAGAGAGAAAAATACATCAAACAATACAAAGACAGAATAATACAAAATAATAGTCCTGAAATTCATATTGTGCTATTAATTTTTTTTACGGGCAAAGGGGCAAATGACACATGAAAATTATTAAACAAGCCTGTTTTTTGTAAATAAAACAAAATTTTGAAAATTTATTAAATTTTCTAATGTCAGCTTTAAAAATAATAAATCACATCATATAATATTAATTATTTAAAATAATTAACATTATATATGTGATTTATGTTTTTTATTTATTTATTTTTATTTAAAAGTATAATTTATTACTTTATTTCTATAGGATTATACTTTTTAATTTATTTTTTCTTTTAAAAAAAATTATTTTTAGAGTTGTATTTTGAATCATATTTTAAATATGGTACTTTTCATAAAATTGAAAAAATACTTTAAAAATCTGATTGATAAAATATATTGTTGTGTGCAGACATAAGTAAAAATTATATTAATTTACACAATTTTAAAATTTCTTCATCCGAAGTGATCCGAGGCACGTGCCACATGGAAATATTTAAGTTGATGGGAACAATTAATGAGATAAATTAAATTAGCAGATATAATAGATTAAAGAAGAGTGCAAAAATAATTACAAGGAATTTAAAAGCATCAAATTATCTGACCCTGTCTCACACATAAATAATTTCAAATAGATAGTCAAACTAACCGTTTGAAATAAAATTTTGAACAAAAACTTAATATTTTGTTGTTATAATGAAAAAAAATGAGAGACAAAAAAAAGCATTGTCCCCTTTCAAAAAGTCGAAAATTAAAATTTTCTTAAAATTTAAAGAATAATTTTCTACCAGAAAAGTCTCATTTCGTTTTTGCCGCACTTTTCTTTGACCGCGAAATATCATAAAAATGAAATAGGTCTGCGCTTTAATTAAATGGACCGGCAAGTCGGTAGAGAAGTTTGAATATGCACGCAAAGTGTGTTTTTGTTTGACTCGCCAGCTCTTTGCTCTCTTTTATGAGAAAAGTTAGCGAAAGGCTTTCCGCACAGCCCCTATAAAGTATACCAATGAGAAAGAGAGAAAAAAAACACCTACACACAATCATTATGCGAAATTTGCCATTTGCCTGGCTCATTTTCTCGAGCAACTCTCTGCCTCCTCCACTCTTAAATCTAAAAGCTTTTCGTGATTCTCAAACAGAACGACTTCCTCAGAGATTAATTACAAACTTCTTCTGTGGGTAGAGTAGCTTTTCCAAAGTCACAAACTTCATTATTGCCTCAGATGAAAAGTAACTTTAAAATTTTTTAATGAGGTTTGTTTCACTGAAAGTTCACTTGAAGTTTATGTTAATTTTTTATTGAAAACTTTGATGATTTTTCTTGATATGAATTGTTTATTTCAGAGTCGGTACTTTGACTGCGACTTTGAAGACGAAGAGAGGCCGCCGGACTTGGCCGCCGGCGGGCCAATTTTGTTCGACCACGTCCTCAACCACCCTGTCACCTGCAGTCTGCTTTAGTTCCAACCTTGACGTCAGATTACTAAATGGACTAATGTGATTTTAAAAGAGATTAAAATGAGTAACCGCAGTTTTGAGAAGAAAGAGTGTTTGAAGATCAACGAATGCTGAATTTCTAACCTAAAAAAATAATTTCAAAATTATTCTCAAAAAAAGTATAAACGATCGATTTTGAATTATTAATATGACGATTATTTAGAAAGAAAATTCCTCAAATAATTGTATAATTAAATTAATTAATGAATAAGATTTCGATTGAAAAATTTAACAAATTTCTTAAATTTGTTTTGCCGCAGTTTGGGGACGCAATTCCGCACAATTTGCAACAAGCGCGGCCAGATGGGCTTATTATGTATGAGGCGTATTGATTTTTCCAAAGGTCAGAGCTGAAGATATTTGGCCGTGCGCCCCGCCGAGTGCCTCGGAAAATGCGTGATGCTGATTCAAATCTTCTGTTCGCTTTCGGCGGCAATTAAGTTCTGCCCCGGCAAGATCATTAATCACTTGTTCCGGTCTAATTGTAAACGAATAACAAACAAAGTCAACTTAAGGGAAAAATCTCTTCTGGTGTTTCAATGTTTTTCCATTCACGAAAAAAGAGAGCTTTGCGAATTTCCCAACTCAGATTTTTCAAAAGCGTCCACGTTATTAGCAATTTTTAGTTGACATGTGTTTGGAGTATTTTTTTTTGTAAATACAAATTAACACTGCTGAGATTATTGTTAATATCGACTATACACACATGGCAGGATGATGACTAATTATTAAGCAAGGGTTTTTACGACAAGTGTGTAAATGTGCAGTGTTTAATTAAAATAACAGACACAATTCTATTATAATCAGCCCATAAATGTAAGTGTACGAAAACGCAAAAAGAATTCTAAAGCAGCCTTTTGTGGGCAGAATTTATTACCTGTTAATTAATGATAATTAAAAAAAATTAATGGTTAAATTACATTAGCATAAAAAAAGGAAAAGTTTTAGTAAGCAAAATAAGAAGTACATTTTTACTGTGTCCCATTTCGTAAAGTATTAGAATTAATTAACAAAAAGCGCGACTAAATTGATTTACTTTGGTTATTTCCTGTCGCTGTGGTTGAGCACAAAACAAATAATTGCTATTAATCATAAGTAGAGAATTGCCAAAAAAATATTTACTCATCGTTGACTATAGAAACATTCAAATTTTATCAAAATGCTCAAAACTTTTTGATGGAAAGAAGTAAAAATAATTTGATAGACATAAAAAAGTACTTGTATGCATAATATAATAAGTAATTATATTTCTAGCAAAGGAAATTTGCACACTCAAAATGCAGCTATTTATTTTGTGGTTGATCACAAGGATTAAAATTACAAACAAAAGAATTATCTGCGCTTTACGGAAATAAAACCAGTTAAAAATCCCACACTGAATATTTCCTCAGAAAATACACGATAAGTATATATTCAATGAAGCTGAAATGTGATTTTCATATAAAAAAAAACGGAGAAAATACTCTTCTATGTAAATTAAAAAGGGAGAAAAAAAATGTAATGAGAAAGAAAGTGTTTGATTTAGTCTGCTGATCAATCAAATTTCTGAGTACGATCCTTCTAGGATCCCTCTGCCCTTGTCATAGAGAACACCCATCCACAAAAATACTAACATTTTTAGATAAAATACAGCAACAGCACTGCGTCTGTGCTCGCGTGTTAGGAATACGCGCGCGCATAATATATATTAATTAATTAGAAGATGAAAAAAAACTATTAAACTATGAAAACAAAAATACCCACGTGATATAGTGTTTTTAGACCCAGTGTCAGACGGTCCGAGAGCAAAATTTCGAGCTCAGCGAGAAGTGAATTAAAATTATTGTAGAACGTCTGATGCTACCGTCTTATTATAAATAGAATTTTGCAATTAGTGGTTGGTTGATCTACCTAGAGAAAAGTTACAAACGAGCTGTAAACTGTGTTTTTGGGTTTCGCCCCTGGCGGTTTTTGTAGTTGGCCCTTTTTGTTCGGCGTTATTTGATGTAGAGTGGAACTTGTAGGGAGGATCCAACCCGTTTGTGTTTTGTTGTTGCTAAATGTTCAACAGGATAAAAACAACTCAGGTTTGCTACGAAATTTGTGGTTGCAAACTCTCCTCGGTGAAAAAAAAGCGTGCACGTGAGTTTGTTGGGATTTTTTCTTCAATTTCCAAAATTTCTTGTCAAGTATATATTCAAGTAATTTTCTTTCAAACGTTTCAATAATTAATTCATTCATATAATTGTTATTAAAATAAAATAATGACGGATGAAAAACTCATTTAAATGTTCAGTGTATCAATCAATTTGAAATCAAGTTTTATAATTAATATTTGTGTATTATGTTTTGTGTCAAAAAGATGTAAATGTGTGAAATGGCTTCAATGAAAATAAAAGCTCAATAATTTTCTCAAAAAACAGTGTTCAGAAATTCAACAGTCCTGATATTATTTGTTAATGTAGTTTTTCATTATTTTATTGACTCAATTCACATTTTACATTTATTTTGCATGAGTAATAAATATTTTAATTATATTCTGAATCAAAAGACACAAGCTTGAAACGATGAAAAGTCATTGATTTGTCCAATTTACAACAGAGGAACATCAAACAACACTTTTCGGTTTAATTTTCTGAAAACGAAAATTAATTGCAATTTATTTACCCGTTTTCAAATAACTGCTTATCCTTAAATGGCTATCAGAATGTTCTCTTTCAGATTTTTTTTAAGTAAGCCATTGGAGGGGCTTTCTTTAAATTCAGATTTCCAAATTCCACCCTCCTTGTAATTAATTAATACACCAGGGTACAACAGTTAACTAACATTTCACTCGTTTAGCGTCCATTGACCAAACCACTTCCAAAAATATCCAGCCTCTAATAATTCCAGTTTTGAATATTGAAAAGTTTCCAAATTTTATTAAGATTTTAATTAGCTTCTTCCAATGGCCCACTTTACGAAATTAAAAGTTTCCAATATTCCATTATTTTTTTCAAATATTTTTTAGTTTTGCTTCCAAAGAGTGGTCATTTTGCCACCTTTTTAGTTAGGCCTTCTTTCCTCGTGTTATTTTGTAATATTTTATATCTCATATATTTTCTCTCAATTAATATTTTCGCTGCCATTTTATTTCTGTGTAGGAATCTGGTCAACTGTGTGACAGTGAGATACATGTACATCTCCATTGTGGGTAATTTTCCTCTATATAAATCTTTTCTTACATTTATAGTTACAAGTTTTTACTCTTGCAATGCATTGGCGGAGGTTCTTGAAAAGTTTTGTCTCTTAAATTATCCAGCCACAAAATAGATTTTAAGCCTTTTACAAATTCACGACTGCTTTTCCAATTGAACAAAATTTCAAGATTCAAATTTTGAACATTTTTTGGAAATTCCGTTTAGTCTCCGTAACAACACACAGACCAATCAAATGCACGTCATGCGCTTGCTTTTTTTGTACATTCGTTCCGGCGAAACCTTTCAGATTTACAATTTTTTTCCCTCAACCAGGAGCTCGGCGCAACTCCTAAACACTAAACAAGCAGACAACCTGGCGCATCGTCGTGCGTCGCAGGTTGCGTTCAGCAATATAAATTTCCTCCTGCACCGCGTTCGCAAATTTTTCGTCGAGACAGACAGATCAGGTCACACTCAGTTGGAATGAAACAGTCTAAAGCAACGTGCAGCCCACGGATCCACCCATGACGTCGGATATGAACATCGGAGTGCCAGCTCCCAATCCGCCATCCGTCTTTTCCTGCTCGTTCTGCTCATACTCGCAATCAAAATAGCGTCCCTGCAAAATAAAAATATTCCAATAGAAAAATAAAACTGGCAATAGATTTCTGTAAAAAAAAAAAAAAAATGAAATTTTCGTCAAGATTGGATATTTACTGTTTTTTTTCGTTCTTTTTTCAAATAAAAATAGAAGAATAAAAATAGTAATTTTAAATTAAGAAAGCCAAAAAAAAGTGGAGAGTAAAAAAAATGCTGTTATTGCCGCAATTATTTGTGAGAAAAGCGATTTAATTTAATCCTTACTTTGAATAATATAGGAGAAAAGAAATGTTAATAATACACAATTAATGGGATAAAGCAGATAAAGGAATTTGATCTTTCATTTAGTATTTTATTTTATAAAAAAAAAATTAATAATCACTGCGGCGGATCTTGGAAGTTTTAGCAAAATTGCTAGTGGTGGTGCCGTTTAGTCCAATAATTCCTTTATTTCAAATAAATTTGTATCAACAATTGAATGGAAACAATTTTCGTAACAATTTGGGCTAATAAACAACAATAATAATAATTTTATTTTTTTAATTTTTAATAGAATTTCCACCAAAGTATAGTTTTTAAATAATTTGAAATGGTTAAAATTTAATAAAAATTACCAGATAATTACTATCATCATTTTAATAATATGCATTTACTATCTACTTTTTTAGTGGATGGAGATAAATTCCTAATTTCATTGCGCAAATTATCAATTAATACCCAGATTTCCTACAATCATCAAGGGTTTTTACAAAAAAGATTAAATAGGCAGTATTGCACGACTGAGTATAATTATATTTATTTATTAAAACATAATATATTATATAAACAATATAATATTATTTAATGATATAAAAAATAATTCTTATTTTAATTTTTGAAAAGATATAAAAAGATAATTAAATTTTTTAAACAAAAAATTTAAAAAATTTAAAATCTATAAAATTGTAATTTATATTTATTTTAAATTAACTTACTTGACAGTCAAGACAGCGACACTTGTCGCTCATCTTGCACGTCAGTCCCCACTGTGCCGCGACGGCCCTGTACAAGGCCTTACTCGACTTGTGTTGAATCTGCAACGGCCCTGTGCGGCCCACGCTGGACACAGGGGGCTTCTCGGTGCTGCCCCTCGCCTGGTCCGACCCCCCACATGCTCCGGCCGACGCACTCGCGGCCGCGGCCGCCGCTTCCCGCGCGGCCACCAAACGATTCTGGAAATAAAAAAAATTTAAATTTTATTTTAATCAATTCAGATGAAATTATTTTCAATCAAACCTCGGCTAGAACTTCTTCGTAAGAGGGTGGAGGGGACGAGGGCACTTGGACTGTGTTTTTGGGCAGGTCGGTCACTGGGCTTAGGGGCAGTTGGGGCGGAGCGACCCCTTCGCCTCGGTGGACGCGGGGCTCGGCCGAACCGGCGGAGGCGGAGGAACTGGAGGTGGCGTTGGCGGCTGTGTCGGGCATGATGTGCCTCGGAGGTGAGTCTTTACTGACCTGGTGGCATGCCACGATGCCACTTGATCACTTGATTGATATCTTCCTGCAAACAAGTCGAAGAAAAAATTTTAGAGCTGTTTAGACTAAAATTCATGGAACTTAAATTGTTTTGATCATGAAGTTAATTTATTGACATCACAGTAATTTAACTTGCATAGGCAAATAATGATTAAATCTTTTTTTAATTTTCGTCAGCATTTCACGATTAGCAGTTCCGACATTTTTTTGAGGTGGATTTTAAATTAGTTTTTATTTTTAATTCTCATTGCAAACAAATATAAAAGGGCATTGCATACTTTCGCGGATGATCATGAACTTGTTCAATAGTTTGAATGTTTAAAAATAAAATTGCAAATTACAAATTTTATAATCAAGGCAAACTAATTCAAATCTTTTTAATTTTGTGTTACAAAGACAACAGGTAGGGATTGGTTTTCCATTGAATTTAGACGGTATTTAATTAATTAAATGTATTAAAAAGTATTTCTACAAATTGCCAAAAATTACAAAATAGAAATTGGAAAATTCTGAAATTAGCTTTATTTTAAAACTGTTGCCTTTTCTGTTAACCCAATATAAGATTTTCCAATTTCTCAGAGCTTGAAAACTTATTGTTTTGAAGCTGAGAATTTCTTGCCTGACTTACAAAATTATTTTATTACGCATCGTCATCGATTTATGGGCGAGTGAATTCATTTCGCTAATGCGTTTCCCTCCCGCTATAAGAAAGCAGCCACTTTTCAGCGAGCAGCACGTCGGCAGCAATAAGCGTGCGACTTTGACACTTGACTTTAATTATTTAGAAAACTTGTTCGAGCGCCGACAAGAGGAGCCCACGTTGGCGGGCTGAGCACGTTCGTCTTTTTACATTCGATCCATTGTTCGCGAGAAAAGTGTATACGTGGGGAATGAATGATTTGTAGCCATAGAAGAGGGCGTTTCAGCAACTTGGCTTGATTAAGAAGATATTCTATTAGTTAATGGTGGTAATGAATTGGTTTTTTTATTTCATCGATGCCCTCAATGAATGGATAAATTTTCTAGAAAACATGGAATACTGATGAAGACTGATGTTTGAATTGGGTAATAATTTCAGTTTCACAATAATAGACTGATACAATTTTTTCACTGAATGTAAAGCATTAAGCTTACAATTAATTGATCTTTCTTGGAAATTTAATTAAATAACATTTTGATAGATATTTGAAATTTTTTGGTACCAATTCTAAAGGAACGACGCGCTTTTTGATATAATATCATATGCGTATATTTATAGCTTAGATTATAATAAGTTCTTATCAGATGATGCTAAAAGTTCATTGAATGTTAATGTTTTTCTAGATTTTTATACAAAATAATATGCCCTCCATGCAAAATATTTATAAAATATTAAAAAAAAAAAAAAAACACATTTGGAGATTGTGTACAAATATTTTCATTTTTTAACCTTTAAAATAAATTATGTTAAATTATATAATTTTATTAAAAATACGAATTATATATTTTAATTTATGTTTAGAAAAAAAAATTATTATTAAATAAATTAAAATGTAAAATACATAGTTGTAAGTTAATCTCAATGAAGTTAATCAGTGATCCAAGATCTACGCAAATCAACAGCCGTGTTCGTTTTTTACCCTCCTCGTGTGCTGCGAGTTTCAATTTTCAGAGACGGAAATAAAAACGCTGGATTGGTCTGCACGTGTGTTCAACCCTCTGGTGGGCACACGAAATATTTTGCCGTGGTAATTATACCACACTGCTTTCGGGAGCGAAAATCCGGTCGGTCGCGGAATTCATTAACGGGAAATTTATATCTTTCGCCACTTTTCTGCCGGTGCGCAGGCGAGCGGAAACGAAGAAAATAACACGACCGTAAATACTATAAAAGGAGAGAAAAGAAAGAAAGAAAGAAAATTAGCCCAAGAAGGATATATTAAAAAAGCCGGGCAAATCTAGGCGGTGTTATTATTGGATTAGGAGGTGCAGCTTTTTGCTTCCGACGTTATCTGCAGCCGATTCATTAATCTTCGCGTTAACAAATTGATTAAAGATAACTTGCTGCGCGTGGGAGTTTCTCGTCGGAGAGCAAAGTTTGACGCGGTTAACTCTTTTTGCAGGTCGGCCCATAAACAAGACGCCCACAGCTCTATATTTAGTGAGTTATTTTCGATATTTACAGCCTTGACCCCGTTGATGGGTGGCAAATTAATTCTTCACGCACATACGGGATTTGATTGGAAGAACACTGCGAGATATCCGGGGACGGTCGTAAAAATAAATTGGATCAACGAGAGGAAGCGCCACTGGCAGTTAACTCGTTCGTTGCACACAAAAAGATAGAGAAAGGGACAATATTTCTGATTCTGGACGTGGAACTGCTGGGGGATTTGGCGACCAGAAATGAATGGGTGACCGCAAGAATAAAAATAAAGAAAGGGAGCTTCGGGGAAGTAGCAACTTTTCTATAGAAGAAAAGAGAATGGGGGGCATCGATTGGGAGGACATGAAAATGGCTCTTTCAGATATATAAGTGAAATAAATTAAATGATAAACGGGTGTAAGACTTTTATACAATTCTGCAATTAAATTTATTTTCGGTTTTTTTTATAGCAATTAGTGATAACGTTTGACTTAAAAGTACTACTATTTCATTTCTTTTTAATTTGTCACAATTTATCATTATGCAGGGTCTATGGAATTGAGGCGGTCATCCTTAAACAACACAAAGAAATTTGTGTAAAGAAAATTTAGCAATTAAATCTTAGAAGTTTGCCAATCTGGAGAACTCTAGATAAAAGTAACAATTTAAATATTTTGATCCAAGAAAGGAACACTTCCCTGACATTCTTAATTCACAAAGAAAATAATTCCTTAAGTACAATTTCGCACTTTCAGGGGTTGCGAAATAGTTCTTTGGGATTATTTTCTTTTTGAATTTTAATATTTTCTTTTTTTTAATTTTGAATTCAAATTATCAATTTTATATTCATATTTAAAGAATCAATATTGCATGAAACTAGCGGCACAAAAAAATAAAAAATTTATGTTTAGACAGATTTTGAAAATTTTAATTCTGATAGCAAAAATGAATTACTTATATTATTTGATTGATTTTAAAAGCAATAATACATTGATTAAAATTTATAATGGTACACACTCAAATAAAATTTGTACTGGTTTATAAATTAGACTAAAAAATAAATTTATTTAATTTTAATTAACTTAAAAATGAAATAAAGTTTAAATACCAATAAAAATGTTGAAAATTATTCAAACTTTATTAAAAATTAGGTAGGTTAAACAAATTTTACATTCCCTAATTTAGAATTTTTTGCAGATAAAAATTTCCTACAACCTGCATTTGTTAATTTGATTTTATAATAAATTTTAAGATCAATAAAGCGAGCATTTTGCTTAAAAATCTAAATTAATAAGAAAAATTAGTTTTAGTTGAGCTGTGTCCTCATTAGAAGGCAGCAAGACTCAAAAACATGCACACTTTGGTGCGTCTCATTAATTATGCTGGCGATAATTATGGCGGAGTGACGCAGCTGGCAATTAGAGGGCTGCAATAAAGCGACAACGGGCGTGATTGAATGGTTGTCTTGGCAACTGGCGCCCCGCTGTCGGCCGGCGCCGCTCAACCTGAGCCACTCGGCCCCGTTTCGCACCCTGTTTGCTGCTGGCTGGCGCGAGAGAGACGGAGGGTCAGCACTTTGTGCGGGTCAAATGTCAACATGCATAAAGAGCAGGGGATGAAGACGGCCTGTTTTTTGTCCGTACGACCCACGCTTTATTTCTCTCGCCGCCTGCGCGCAGATTTTTTATGAACTCGGTCCTCTTTCGCTCTCTCTCGCCCGACGGGATTTATTTGCGCATAAATATACATCTTGTTGTGCGGTTGGGCGCGAAAGTGAGTTTGCCGTGGTCTCTGTTTGCATCGGCCGATAGCAAACACGAATAAATAGAGCGGTGCACTTTGGATTAACATTTTACGTTCTGTTGAAAGTACAACAATCATTGCTCACTATTTGTTTTTATTGTAAAAAAAGGGGGGGTTTTCGGCGTGTTTGCTCTTTTATATTAACATACACAATATCAATCAAAAATAATAAAATGATAGTGAATAGCATTCCTAATGCAATTTGATTTTGCGGAAACTAATAAAGTTTATTATTATAAATAAAAAAAGAATCCTCTTTTTGACCAGGAACAATTTCAAAATAACAAACGTTATTTAAAAAGAGAACAGATTAATTTAAACTGAGAGGTTAAAATAAAATCATCTAATAAAAATGGCAGAACCTGACCGTCAAGAGTGCGCCCGGTTTGCACACTAAATTAAATTTGAGCGAGCGAACTGATTTGGTGGGACGTTCATGCTTCTTTAGAACAATATTTGTTACGTTTAAGAATTTAAAATTTTGTATAAACAAAATAATAATATAAAATAAAAATAAATAAATAAATTTAACTTTTATTAAAAACTTTTAAAATAATGTTTTTCATTTAATGTTTTATCTTTTAATTTTACATTTACAATTTTTATTTTTATTATAGCATTTAAAATTTTTTAATATTATTAATTCATAATTGTTGTTTATTTATATCATTATAATGCTTCCTATAAATAAATTTTAGATAAATATTATATATTTATACCTAGGGGAAGACAAATAAATCCTATTTGTAATGGGTTATAATTCATTATTTTAGACAATTATATTTGTGAAATTTGTATTAAATTGGTGTTTTTTCAATTTGCTGATTTTTTGTATTTTTTCTTGCTCATGAAATAGGGTCGCAGACCGTGATCGAAACTGGTAGAGCCATTTGTTTTTGAATAAAAACAATTTTTCTGCAACGAGGAAAAGCCCGATCGCTTCATTTCCATGATCATCTCCTCGAGTGTCAACTTCTTCAAACAAATAATTTTTTTAAGTTAAGAATTCAAAATTTGAGCCTTTTATTGTGATGCTGATTGTAGAGTGGAATAAGATAATTATAATCCAATATAATCAATAACGTGTGCGTATAGAT